TCTCCGTTCCCTCCTTCAGGGAACGAGGGTTACCATACGTAACCGAGACGTTCCTGGCAGGTCTTGACCACATCACAGTTCAAAACCCACAGAAACACTGACCAAAACCAACATATAGATAACAAACAATAGGATAAAAATGGAAAAAAAAGAAACAAAAAGAAATTATCATCAACAGAATGTATGCTTGCTTTCTCCTGCACAGAAACATACGACTTTATCAATAAAATAGTACTGCAGCTTTGTGGCCACATTATTACCTCAGCTGTGCATTATTTTTAAAAAAATTCAACAGCCGTTGTCAAGTATTATTATTATTACTGTCATTAATTACTCACTCATAAGACCTTCATTCATCTTTGGAACACAAATTAAGATTTTTTTTTATTTTTTAATTAACAGCTTTCTGACCATGCAGAGACAACAATGCAACTGAAATGTTCCCAAGCACAGAAATGTAGTAAGGACATCGTTAAAATAGTCCATGTGACATCAGTGGTTCAACCGTAATTTCACAAAGCTACGAGAATACTTTTTTGTGCACAAATAAACAAAAATAACAACTTTATTCAACAATTTTTTTCTCTTCCATGTCAGTCTTTGACACGTTTACGAGAGTACCATGATGCATGCCTCTAAATAATTAGTGACGAAGTTTTCAATTTTGGGGAACTATCCCTTTACATAATAATAATAATAATATTAATAGTTGTTGTTTATTTATTTATTTGTTTGTTTGTTTGTTTGTTTGTTTATCAATATGCAGTTATACACTATAGTGAGACATGCAGTCACGATTTATGAAACCCTCCCATTGCAATCTGATCCCATTTGGTCACAGAGTACACATTCTAGATGCATGGTACTACCAAGTCTAAACAGCAGTATTTCTCAGCTGACCGCTTGTGATTGTATCACTTGAGATGGATGCTAATACCAGGTGCAAATACAACCTAAACAAATTCTGAAGAGACTTGGAGGGAAAATTCCGGTCTGGGACAGTTGAGAGACGGTAAAGTGACTGGAGAAGGATCACAACAACATGCGCACTACCCACTGCACCATGACTCTGACAAATCCTGTCATTTTTCAGCAGACTAAGCAAGCAGCTTGACTTTTTACACTCATTTATTTGACCTTATGTTCAGTGACACACCTGTCCGCTCAGGCATCATAACGTGACGATCGATGGGTTAGGGACACACAGGTAACTCTGCATACTACACTGAACAGTGTGACTAGATCATCGGTGAATAGGTGCACCTAGAAAATGGGATTCTGTACTGGTCGTGCCATGGTATCTGCCAGAAGGCTTAGCTTTGCTTATCTGCAGGTTGCACTGCATACGCAGAACACACAGTATGAGTTACACTTTCTACTCTCTCACCTCACTCACTTCAATTACAACTATGCGTGGAACAAGGTAGGGACCCAGCACCTATAGTGCCATGTGACTGGATGAAAGGACTGAATGCTAATCTTAAGCACAGCTATGTGAGAGCAAGTTTATTTTGATAAAAAAATGTGGCTTATATATATGAAGATTTAAGTTACAGAAAGTGCGAGCATATTTCAGCCAGATGTGTGTTATTAGAGGAATAAACATATTAAGTCAAATAAATGCAACCTAGAGCATTATTGAGCATGAACCTTTTTGTCAAACATTAAAAAATCTTATCCTTTGAATGGTAGTGTATATATGCTTTTTGGAGCTTTGTGGTAAAAAAAAAAAAAGGGTTAGGAGTAAATGGTGAAACAACCATTTGTGTGTGAGCTACGTATTCCTTTAGTGTTCAGTTAATAACTTTTCAAAAGGAGGAGTCGCCGCTTTTTGGCAGACTGCTTTGTTATCACTTTATAATTTTTTTATCTAAAGTAATTTATTAGCCGTTCTGCATCTTGCTGCTGGCCACCAGATCCTCTCAATCAAAGTCATTTGTGGATGGATGCTTGATGGCTTGGCACAGTTGAGGTTTTCTCTTCTATTCAGCATTCATTAGAAATATTAAACACTATTTGTTTGCCCTTGTTGGAATGTTTTTCTCCCTCTAAAACATTTGATTGGAAGGAACTCTTAAGATGTGGATCAGGCCAAATTTGTCTTCTCCTCCATTATCAACACCACAGGAGGGGGAAAATCAGGCCTTTACGATTCTTCTGTTAGAGATGAACTGAAGTCCAATTGATTTTATTGTGAAGACCGTCAGTGCTGAATTGTTTAGCAGTTCATTATCAGTTCATGCTGTAACTGTAATGTAACCATGTTACACCACATTAAATGTTATTCTCATTTTGACTTAATGCTGAACAGAGTACCTCCACAGTGACAGACTCTCTTTTAATGATTGAGCTTAAGAACATATTGTGCCTCATTCTTAAACACTGTCTGTTAGACTGTATAATGTCAGCATTGCTTTGATTTATTTAGAATAAATTAGAATGGTTACAGTCCTATTGTTGTTGTACAGTTGTATTTGTTGTTATGGCCTTGATGTATAACATCATGACTAACAGACACAAAAGATGACTAAAACACCTAAACCATAATTATTCATCTGGCAGTGGCAGTTGATAAATATTTGTTCTGTGTCATTGTGGGGATGTATGGATTTCTGTTGAGTTATTAATGTCTGGTGCCAGACTGAGCGAACTTGTAGGCTTTTGGTGATTATGTGCATTGTTCATAGGACATGAAGAGTTTCGATACAAATCAACACACTATGCTGAAATCCTTATTTATTTATTTGTTTGACCCTTGTTCTTCTTTAGAAATACATTCACATGCTAGTGTGTTTTCTCTCGCTCTTCCTATCTCTAATTTACTTTAATTATGTTCATAAAAGTAGACAGAAGTACACAAACATCACTTCTAAATAAGCATTTAAACATATTCCATCATATTATATGAACATTCATATTGTTTGTTTGTTTGTTTTTTCATCTGCAAATATGTGAGTTTCTGCAAAAGCACAACAGATGGAGTCACAATTTAGTATGTCCTTTTATGCCAGAAAATGAGCAAAGTGGCATTGGTAAAATTTACTCTCTTTCAATATTTAATATATTGGAAAATATGGATGAGTTTCTACACCTTAGTACTGTTCATCAGTTTTCTAGTTTTGAAAGGTGCCGGTTGATTAAAGTTGCATGATAACCTAAATTTATAGTAAAAAGGTTTCTTAAAAGTGCTAGTGCTAGTTTCTAGACAGAGTTGCTGCATCGTTGGGTGACAGATTGAAGGAATCGTGATAAAATGACTTCATAATATAATATAATAATAGAACTAACAGTAGGGATTCATTTTCTACATCAGAACCTTTTTAAATAGTGTAGGTCAATGTAAATTAATAAATATGCTATTGTTCATTGTT